CTCCTCTCTCTCTGCCTGCCTCTCTACCTACTTGTGATCTCTCTGTCAAATAAATAAATAAAATCTTTTATAAATAAATAAAATAAAGGGGAGGAGTTTCACTGTGGGCTGAAACTGGAAATAGGTGTTTCAGTGCTTAAAGAACATTTTGGCTTCATTATCTTCATGTGTTAATAATGACAAAAAATTAGAAAAGAAGTTACATACATTTGACTCTTGAACAATGTGGAGGCTTAAGGGTGCTAACCTCCCACACAGTCAGAGTGTTTTAAAAAATCATAAAGGAGAAATTTACTGTACTGTATCGAAAAACATCCACGTGTAAGTGGACTCATGCGGTTCAAACCTTTTTGCTCAAGGATCCCTTGAACATTATTTTCTCTTTCTACTTCCTTTTAAATTTATTTTTACCATCCGCTGTTTTATTCTGGCTAATGAACTGAGGATATTCCTTGATGAGAAAAGCCTCTTGAGTAGATTCTGGGCAGTTGTAATTACTAGGCATCGCCATAATTTTTGTTTTGCCTTCTCTGTACTTCCCCCAGGTGTCCCAGGTAGACACTGTCTGTGAGTGCTTGCTCGAGCATGAGGAGCAGGTCTTAAAGGATACATCATTGGAATCCGTTGAATGGGCTGAGGTGGTCATCAATGTGAACAGTATTCTTAAGGTATAAAACTACCGTGAAGATTTCAGCAAATCAAAGACCAGAGTGTGGATAGAAGAGAAAGTGGCTTCCGTATTCCTACTCTGTATTGCCAGTAATTTATAAGTGTTTAGCATTTAATTCCAAAAATTTAGAAAAATACCAGTCATTTTATTAATCAGCCAAACATTTTGAATGTTTGCCTTGTGTATTAATTTCTATGTTCCTGAGTCGTGTTTGGTAAAACAAACCTTTTATTTGGAGAAGGATGGATATATCATTACAAATGTATAAATATTACACTAACTATTTAAATAAATCACTCAAAACGTTATTGTTTATATTACTGATTAAAATGTGCCATTTAGTCTTAGCTAATGGTCTTTATAGCAATGGTTTTCCTACTTTGGTTACTATAGTTTTCCAAAATTGAATTTAAATTTCAAATGTAGAATAAGAACCAAAAAGTAATTCTGCAGACCTGTGCCGAGTAATTTTTGGTATTAATAGACTTTGATGTTTCAAATTACCTTTAAAAATACTGGGATTCATCACTTTCTGCACATGCTAACACGTTTTCTTTCCCCAGGACATGCTACAAGCTGCTAGTCATTATCGACAAAATAGAAACTCCTTATATAGAAGAGAAGAGCCACCAGAACAAGAACCTGAATATGTTCCTTGGACGGGTGAGATTTCAAGCACTGAGCCCAAATACACTGATTTATTATTAACAGTGATTCAAAATATATTCCTAATGACCTTTTTGGAAGCTATATTACTCCATTAGTGTAGGTTTATAAGTGAAATGAGAAATAAGTGCTGTCTCCAGAATGAGCAATTCTCGTGAAAATTGCTTTATTTCCTTGAATAATTTATAGATCTCTCCATGATGTATTTCATAGTACTTACTATGTGTCCACTAGATTTTATTTTTTAAGTAATTGCTACCCCCAACGAGGGACTTGAACTTATGACCCCAGGATCGAGAGTCGCATGCTCTAGTGACTGAGGCAGCCAGGCACCCCATGTCTACTAGATTTTAGGGCATATAGTTATTCAAAGAAGCACATCCTGGTTATGGAGGTGTTGGCTCCATTTAATGTTGATTTAATACAAAAAAGTATGTGGAGCAGCATCAAAGGGATTTAGAAGGAAGAAGGACCATGTTTACCTGGCTTTGTTGGGGAAGTCTCCCATAGAGAAGATGGGATTTGAGCAGGACAGAGAGGTATCTATCAACTGAAACCCTGTTTGATTTCTTTTTCCAGCAGCAGTGAGGTGATAGGTTTTAGGCAGTTGGCCTTTCTCAGCCAGTGTAGAGCCCTTACTTACTGTATTAATTTGTGTGATTTCACAGCAACAAGTGGTCCTTCAGGCATCCGAACAGTAATAGAACGCCAGCATGGGATTGTCCTGAAAGTGGTTTATCCTCAGGCAGACAGCAACCTCCGAAACATTCTGACGGAGCAGCTGGTGGCACTGATTGATTGCTTCCTGGATGGTTATGTTTCCCAGCTGAAGTCTCTGGACCGATCTGGTGATCAAGAAAGATACAACAGTCTGGAGATGGAGTACCTCCAGAAGAGATCAGATCTCTTATCTCCACTTCGTAAGTACATGGTATTTAGTGAGGCCGTGGGTCTTCGAATTTGCAGAACGGATGAAGGAGTCAAATCATTAATGCAGCGTGTTCAGTGTCCTGTCATTCACCCAGCCGTAACCAAGGACTTACTGCATGTGTGCACAGCTTCCTGTGTTCATTTGTTCCGCCTTGTCTTCAAAACTTCCTAGGTACAAGTACCATGCTGAAGAGGATTTGAAAAGGTAAATTAGCAACAAATGGAGGCTGTCCTCCAAGCTAGTCATCTGAGACCTTCACACAAATAACTAGTCTGCCCAGTAGAGCACGATGAGGGCTGTTAGAGGGCGCAGCTAGGAGAGTGTGGCTGTTCAGCAAAGGACACGTTCTTTTCATAGCTAGGATGAGGAAGAGGGGCTTGTACACACAGGAAGGGCATAGCCTCCTAGGTAGGTGGGAACAAGCAGTGGATTAAATTTGTGTCTTTAATGAATTTATGTGGATTATGAAACTGAATGCCAGTAACTGGAAAGGTTTCTATTCCATTAATTGTTTTTAGAGTATGGTATGAGTTAAAGGTAAAATTTCAAGTAATATTTTTTTCATCACATAATAAGTTTTCACTAACAGGATTTTTTTTTTTCCATCTGTTCTCATTGTTACAGTCACACTAGGCCAGTACCCGTGGGCTGCTTCATTAGCAGAAAAGTACTGTGACTTTGATATCTTAGTACAGATGTGTGAGCAGACAGACAACCAGGCCAGACTCCAGCGCTACATGACCCAATTTGCTGATCAGGTAATGAACACCGTGGACATAGGCAGTCGATCGTGTACTTGGTTTTACCATTTCAAATGTTCGGTTTTTAGGAAGATGCTGTTAATTTAGATACTAATTTGTACATTATGTTTCTTTGTGAGTTGGCAGACAATTCCAAATATTACTGAAAGATTCTTTGACCTTTGTACAAAGTGTTAAAACTCTCAGTTCTATTCTGGTATTTCTAGTTATAATTAAAAGTACTTGGGTAGACGGATATTGGAAGAGTTTTAAAACTTTGAAAAAATTTCATGGAAGCACAGGATCCTACAACTTTTGGAGAGCTCAGCTTTTCTTGATTGACATAATGCTTATTATTTTTCTCATTATGACAATCTTTAGGTGAATTTTAGTTGCTCCTTAAAGCCATTTTATTCAGTCAGTTGATATTCATGTAAAAACCGATTTTTTTTCCTACTGTAAAAGTGACATTGTATAAAATTCGGAAAACGTCTATAAAATAGAAAATTTTAAGTCACTCACAATTTCACCACCCAGAGAGAACCCTTTTTAACATTTGGTTTGTATTGTTCTAGTCTCCATACTCTGTAATATTGCAGACAAACATGTTTCGCGGATTGCTTGTTTCCCTTAATACATCATTGATATTTGTGCTTATCATTAACTGTTTCACAACCATGTTTTTGATGGTGTTAATGGTGTATTGTAAACTGGGCGTAACTTACCATATTTGACTAGGGCCTAGTAAATACCTTTGTGCCCATCATGATTTTTGTTCTTTTTGTGGACTCTAATCCCGTGTGGACATTTTCCATCCATTTTTGTATTCATTTACTTTCTTTTTTTTTTTTTTTTTTTTTTTTAAAGATTTTATTTATTTATTTGACAGATAGAGATCACAAGTAGGCAGAGAGGCAGGCAGAAAGAGAGGAGGAAGCAGGCTCCCTGCCGAGCAGAGAGCCCCATGTGGGGCTCGATCCCCGGACCCTGGGACCATGACCTGAACTGAAGGCAGAGGCTTTAACCCACTGAGCCACCCAAGCGCCCCTCATTTACTTTCTTTAATATGTTTAGTAGTTATTTAAAAATCCTTACATGCTACCTCCAAAATCTGATCATTCTCTGGTCTGTTCTGTTGTCTCCTTATTAGTCATATTTTTCTGTTTTTTATGTCTTATAATTTTTTTTGTTTTATTTTGGATATTGTGTATAAAAGAACCTTAAAGATGGAAATGAATGCTATTTTTCCTTGGGGAGGCAGATAGGATGAGAGGCAGGTCACTCGATTCATCAAGAATAGGGGTGGGCCAAGGCTTGGTTTCAGCTTTTGTTACATTCATTTCATGTCCAGTTTTGAAGTCTTGTGGGACTGGTGTGTTTGTTGCAGAGTTCCCTCTTTAGTGGAAACATCTCTTACATACCATGTAGGACATTTTGGTCTTCCTTTCCACCCTAGCCTTCCGTACTACCCAGCATTCAGCAAACATCTGGTGGGAAAAACCAGCTAGGCATTGAGGGCCTCTCTAGATTTCTATTTATCATACAAACCTGCATGGCCTTCTGACACAGAATTCAATCCTGAAGAATCTTTCGATCTGCACTGTCACATAGAACTTTCTGTGATATTGGAGATCTTACTCATGTAGTCTAAGGGCATAGGGCCATTGAGCACTTGAAATGTGGAACTGAATTTTAAAATTTTAATTAAGTTTAAACAGCTGTATATAGCTAATGGCTACCATACCACACCATGCACATCTAAAGTTTACGTGATCTTGCACAAGATCCTCTTTTTGATTCTGAATTCCCCATTTATTAAATGAGGTGACTTAAGTTTTTTTTAGGACCTTACCACATAGAAAACCTAAGTGTTTAAAGATTTTTGTTCTGCAATCTAAGACCTTTGAAAAAAAATTAATATTTTAATATAGAAATGTACTTTAAAAAATTATATTACTGAATATTATTGGATTTTTTGCCCTACTATTTGTAGAATTTTTCAGACTTTCTCTTCCGTTGGTATCTGGAGAAAGGAAAGCGAGGCAAATTATTATCTCAGCCCATTTCTCAGCATGGAGAGTTGGCGAATTTTTTGCAGGCTCATGAACATCTCAGCTGGTTACATGAAATTAACAGCCAAGAATTAGAAAAGGTAAGAACAATTGAGTTACATCGAGCAGAGTTAGGCAGTTTTTTACTTGATTAGTGTAGTTTAGTGATTAGAATACTATTTAGAGATTTTTTTTTTTTTTAAGATTTTATTTATTTATTTGACAGAGAGGGACCCAACAAGAGAGGGAACACAAGCAGGTGGAGTGGGAGAGGGAGAAGCAGGCTTCCCACTGAGCAGGGAGCCTGATGCGGGGCTTGATCCCAGGACCCTGGGATCATGACACAAGCCAAAGGCAGACTCTTAACGACTGAGCCACCCAAGTGCCCCTAGAGATTATTCGAAATATGTATCTCCTATTCTCTGACATAATTTGAATAAACTGTTCTTTTTTACTTATGGTAGTGTTGCCATTACTTTTAATGTCTCAGTAAAAAAAAGTATCTTTTGTGATTTGACTACTATTAAAGTACAAAAATTTTATTAATGTGTGTAAAGAACAGTCTATTGCCTTTTTTTGTAATGAAAATGTTCAAATTATGAGTAAAAATAGTACAAGAATTAATTTTAAAGCTTGTCCTTGACAAGTTGTTCAAGTGAATATATAGTCATTATAGAACAGATGTTTTATATGCATTTCTTTTCCCAGTAATTAGTGTGGCTGGTTGATATTTTATTGAGTAGTTACTCCTGGTATATAGTACCAATCAGTTTTAGTACCAATCAGTTTTGCTGGTATTGGATCTGATCTTTCATTCGTCTCAGGGGAAAACAGTTTTGGGTTGTACTTAACCTTTATTTCAACTTAAATTAGTACACAGAATCTTACCATTTTTCATATTTTGTTTATTGTAGGCTCATGCAACACTTCTGGGTTTGGCAAACATGGAAACTCATTACTTTGCAAAGAAGAAAACCCTTCTGGGTTTGAGTAAATTGGCTGCATTGGCTTCAGACTTTTCAGAGGATATACTGCAGGAAAAAATTGAAGGTAAAAGAAAGATTTGAACATCAGTCATGCTATCAGTGAACTTAGTGCATTCCTATTATCATTTAATAGGGTTCACTAGACACAGAATCTGCCTCTCCTTTATGAAGAGTGGTTTCTGTTCAGTGTTGTTAGACACTTACTCAAGTATGTATTTTTTGGGATTCTGTTTTTTAGAGAAAATTTGTATGTTAATTAAGAATTCCTAAGAAGGTGGTTATATGATTTGAAGAGTGCTCTGAGGGGCGCCTGGGTGGCTCAATGGGTTAAAGCCTCTGCCTTCGGCTTGGGTCATGATCCCGGGGTCCTGGGATCGAGCCCCACATTGGGCTCTCTGCTCAGCGGGGAGCCTGCTTCCCTCCCCACCCCGGCCTGCCTCTCTGCCTACTTGTGATCTCTGTCTGTTAAATAAATAAATAAATCTTTAAAAAAAAAAAAAAAAAAGAGTGCTCTGTACCCTTAGTGACTTGTATTCTAAGAACAAGAAGAGCTGCAAAGAAATCTTGGCCTTTACTCAGTGGGTTTTATTATAGATAGTTGTAATTTTGAAGCTACTAGTTTCAGAATTCAAAACTTTTTGGCATCTTAATTTTATACAACTATTTTGTTACATTGTAGGTTGAGAAATTGATTGGATATATTGTTATTTTTGAGAACCAGGGGGAAGGGAAATGAAATCTGGAAGGAGGACGAGGAAGAACCCTATACTACATTTGAATCAGAGATAATCAGGTGGAATCAGGATTGTTCAAAATTAAAGTTTTTCTATACCCCAGGAGCATAAGTATACCTAGTCCTGTACTTTGGCATCTCACTATTTCTCAGTAAAAGGAAATAAGGGTATTGAAGAAATGGTCTCGGGAAGTCTTGTTTAGCCAGAAAACAAGTTTAATGTAGAGATGTCAACACAGTAGCCTCCACTGGCCAAGTCTGGGGATAATTTGAACTCCAAAAAGATTGATAGTAAAACGTTTTATTTCACCATTTAAAAACGAAAAATCCAGGGTGCCTGGGTGGCTCATTCATTAGGCGTCAGCCTTCAGCTCAGGTCATGATCTCAGGGTCCTAAGATTGAACCCCACGTCAGGCTTCCTGTTCAGTGGAGAGCCTCCCTCTCCCCCTGCTGCTCCCCCTGCTTCTGTAAGATTGGCTGATAGTCTAACATGGGAAGCCAAATTTTAGCCTGGTCACCAGACTTAGACCATGTTAATCAAATCAGGGTTTTATTTTTTGCTCCCCCATCCACCAGAAAACGTTGGAACTCTGGTCACCGTCTTGATTTGATCACTTCTTAACTTTCACTTTCTTAAAACAGTGGGAGTATTTTCAAGTGTCAGTAATTACCTACAGACTGTCATCAGTGTATCTGGTCAGAGGGAGTAGATTTTTAAGAAATAATTCTGGTTATATGATAATTCCTTATGGAAATTTGTAAATCACCAGGAAAAACACAACAAAAAAATAAATTGTCTATATAATCTCATTGCCTCAGAGATTACTACTGTTACTATTTTGTAATCCTCCCAGTCTGTTTTTCTAGGTATGGAAATTGCACAAAAATGATTTGTGTGATTGTTATAAAATTAGCATCATGTGGAGTGATGTTATTATGAGCATATATGTGCTTTGGTCACTGTACTTTGCTGTGACCACTGTGTTTCTGAGGCTGCATGGCAGTTCTCAGTCCTTTTCCCCTGCAGCCCAGCACACTTTCCTGAGCAAAACCTGGGATTGGGCTGCAGCCTTGATAGCTTATCCCAAGTAAGCCTCACCCGGTCACTTCGTCCTCTTAAGGTTACCGTTGCTTGTTAGATTTGGTGCATAAACTTCCAGGTTTTGTTTTTCCTGGAATATACTCGTGGTAGCTTTTAAATAGATCCTTTCCCTCGGTGAAAGAGTATATTAGAAACTCTGGTGGGAGTTACTGAGCTAAATAACATGGGACTGGGTGAACCCCGATTTGAGGGACTTGCCTCATGAAATAGCCATCTGTTCTATAATTCCTTCAAGCAGTAGCGTGTATTTTTATAGCTTTTCTCTCCCCTCCTGTTTCTGGTGACTGATTGTTTCTATGATGTGAATCAAGCCATGAATATGTTTTAACATCAGAAATCAAGAGGTAGCAGAATTAATAACATTTTAAGATCACCAAGTAGTGATGAGATTACCTTTAGAGATGCTCTGCCTTTTTTTTTTTTTTTTAATTCAGATTTGTTTTATGATAGAGCAGAAGAGTTTACTGCCCTCCCTGCCTCTCATTCTGAATTCTAGAAATGGCTGAGCAGGAGCGCTTTCTACTGCACCAGGAGACCCTGCCTGAACAGCTGCTGGCGGAGAAACAGCTCAGTCTCAGCGCCATGCCGGTGCTGACTGCCCCTCAGCTCATCAGCGTGCGTGCTTTTCCATCCTTGCACCGTTCCTTAGTCTCAAAACAACATCGCTATTTCTAGAGTCAGGTGGTATAGTTCGTATGGGTGGTCATCTTCCCACTTCCTATTTTTCTGGTAACTTTCCCCTTCCCCTAGAATAAGTTGTTAGAAGCTGCTGGAGATCAGGATGCACGTTAGCTGGAAGTACTGGACCAGCCTCTGCCTCCCTGTCGATCTCCACCTGTTCCTAGAGATGCTCATGCAGGTGACCAGAAGAAAGTACTTGTACTTTCTTTTCCAGCAGAGGACAAATATGTACCACAAGGTACAGCTCAGGTTCTTCCACAAGAAAAATGGTTTAAGGAACTGGATTTTCATAGCCTATAAGTACTGACCTCACCCTTTTCCTCTGGAACATAACACATTCCTAAGGGCATAGCTAGATTGTGGGCTGCAGCCTGGGTAAGATACTTTTGTTGTTAGATACACTCGCAGCCTTAACTCTGCTTCTCTCTTTGCCTTTCAAGAAAGTGTTTCAAATATAAGAGCAACGTAGATCACTTTGAATTTGTTCTAATTTTATTGAAAAGAAGATAATTCAATAACGTCAGTATCTTAGCCATTATTAGTAACAGATTTCCTATAATTGAGCTCACAATGGCCTCTCCTTATGTAGCATATTGCAAAGAAAATGCTCAAAAGGATACTGAAATATGTATACTATCTGGAACCTAAGAATAAAATTTACTGATATTTTAGAAGTATATATACCAAGATTTGCAAATTAATTACTGTTGAGCATAGGCACATTTTGAAGGACAGTTTATTAAGAGGATAGATGGAGTGTAATTTCCAAAGATGATAGTTTTCTTATGATAAAATAAAGATACCTTTGACTTACTTGAAAGACAGAATGATGTATTTTTCTCCATAAATTTCTCTAGTCTTGGTTATATGATTACTTAAAATAATCCTAAACCTTATTTGAACTTGCCATAGCTGTATATCTGTGAAGAAAACAGAAGAGCTAATGAATATGATTTCAAGAAAGCTTTGGACCTGCTGGAATATATTGATGAGGTAAGTAAAATCACTTGAGATGAACACAGGCAAGGATCACAATTTATATATTTCGTTTTCTGTAGAACTGAATACATATAAAAAGAGAAAAAAATACATCTTTTAGCCAATCATGACAATGTGTTAATTTAGAAAGACTCTCTGGTTCAGCTATTCCTAACTCTTGGAATGTGTATAGCTCTTTAGAAAAGCTGTCAGGAGATTCCCTTTCCTGATAATTCTCACACATTCCCAGATGTCTTTTTCTGTGCATGAATAAAAACACAGTTTTTCAGAGTCCTGAGGCATTTTTTCTCTTTCATTATTAAATCATCATTAGTTCCTCAGTCTGATACATTGCTTTATCGATTTATTCTTCATAGTGCTCACCCTAAGAGGAGCTGTTTCTTTGGGGGAGAGGGGGCGGTTATAATAACAATTCTGTAGATTAAATAGTTGGCCCTGCAATTGAAAGCAGTTTGGTAGATTTTTAAAATGTAGTGTATTGGCTTTTATTTATCTTGTTTCAAATCTTAGCCCTTCAAGCTTCCTGATAAAATCGGATTATCACAGAATAATCAGAAACTAATACTCACGCAGTTACTAATTGGCTTACTCTTCTGGGTATTAATATCTTAAAGGAAATCTTTTAAAATTATGAATTAAAGTAAATCATTTATGCAGAATTAATTAACTCAAATTTAAACATGTATTTTTTTTAAATCAGGACTTAATGAGGATTTTTTTGTTTTACTATAAAGGAGGAAGATGTAAATACAAATGATCTAAAACTGGAAATCCTTTGCAAAGCTCTTCAGAGAGATAAGTAAGTTCTCATAACATGAATCTAAGCTATGGTTTTTTAAAAGGACTCTTTTTTTTTTTTTTTTTTTTTTTTAAATTTACTTGACAGACAGAGATCACAAGTAGGCAGAGAGGCAGCAGGGGGAGAGGAGGAAGCAGTCACCCTGAGCAGGGAGCCTGATGTGGGCTCCATCCCACGACCCTGAGATTACGACCTGAGCTGAAGGCAAAGGCTTTAACCCACTGAGCTACCCAGATGCCCCTAGAAAAGGACTCTTGAGGAAGATTATGATATCATGTATCAAATGGTTTTGTAACCTAATTATATTCTAACATAATTATAAAAATTTTATTGTGTGCATTAGTAGTCTAAGTTTCTCACTCAGTAGTTAAGGAAGAGTTTAAGGACTTAGGACCACTGGTATAATAAATCTCTATTTTGATTTTATTTATTTGAGTGGGAGAGTGGGGGTGGGGTGCAGAGGGAGAGGGGGAGAAAGAGAATCTCAAGAAGGCTGGATGCCCAGTGCAAAACCCAGTGTGGAGCTCAATCCCATGACCCCGAGATCATGACCTGAGTCGGACACTTAACCGAGACACCTACATGCCCCTCTGCTTTTGATTTTAAAATTTAGACTGTCAGTTTGCACGGAAATATATATGTTCCTGATTTTCACAGAAGTTGGGCCAGTTCTGCCAAAGAAGCTGCATTTTGTTTTAAACAAAAAGTATATTAGAGTATCGGTACTCTCCTGTAAATTACTGAGACCTCTTTTTTGTGATTATCTCCTTCCTGAGAAGGGAGATTTCCATGGGAAATGGTGGCAAAGAAAGGCGGTGGCAGTGAAAGAATAATCAGTTGGGGGATTGAATTGTTTCTAGGAAAAGAATTTGAGAGAACTTGACTTGAGTGCTAACACCCTTCCCTACTTAAAATTTTCCTTTTTATATGGTGCTGAGAAATTGCAGTAGGACTATTTTTACTAAAGCATTTCTTCTTCTGATCACTCCCAAATAGTTAAAATTGTTGTTCTATTTGGTCTTGGAGGTCACTTTCTGAAGCATCTCCCTCTGCCTGCTTCATTCTCCTTTCTAATCTTAAAAAAAGTATGCTGTCATTTGATTGGAATTCCTTGTCATGGCTTCACGTTTATAAACTTTAAGGTGTTGGGGCGCCTGGGTGGCTCAGTGGGTTAAGCCTCTGCCTTCGGCTCAGGTTATGATCCCAGGGTCCTGGGATTGAGCCCCACATCGGGCTCTCTGCTCGGCGGAGAGCCTGCTTCCCACTCTCTCTGTCTCTGCCTGCCTTTCTGCCTACTTGTGATCTCTCTCTCTGTCAAATAAATAAATAAAATCTTTAAAAAAAAAAAACAAAAAACTTAAGGTGTTGGGGCACCTGGGTGGCTCATTCAGTTAAGCATCTGCCTTTGGCTCATGTCATGATTTCTGGGTCCTGGGTCCTCATGTCAGGCTCCCCGCTTGGTGGGGAGTCTGATTCTCCCACTGCCCCTCCCCGCCATGCTCGCTTCCTGTCTCTCTCTCAAATAAAATTTTTAAAAAACTTTAAGGTATTGTGGAATATATTCATTGATTACTACAAAGCAGTGGTTTTGTGTGTGTGTGTGCGTGTGTGTGTGTGTGTGTGTGTGTGTGAACAGTAATATCAACTAGATAAAACATTATACTAGACCCTGGTTACCATTTTATTTTTATGAAAATCAGAGTATGTTACAATATATTGTAACTGTTACCTATGGTCTGAAGATTGTACTTGGGAGTCCTTACTAAGTTTGTTATTTATTTATAGAATATGGGGGGAAAGATGGCTTGCTACTTTGTTTTAACATCAAATAGGTAGGGTTGTGTTGGGTGAATAGCGACCTGAGTGTAGCATTTTGTATCTGATATTGGGACTCTAAGTATATTCAACATTCAAAACTCCCTCATTTAAATACTTTGAAACAGTATTACAGAACTCAAGATTCTCTACCCCTGGTACAACCAGCAAAATAAAACTACAGTAGCAAACGGAAGTCATTTATTTCAGATATGTCTATGATTTCTTTTTCTTACTGCAATTTTGTTTTCTAGCTGGTCCAGTTCAGATGGTAAGGATGATCCAATTGAAGTATCTAAAGACAGTATATTTGTGAAAATCTTACAGAAACTTTTAAAAGATGGTAAGTCATTTGTTAATATTGGAAGTTATAGCATCACTCCTCAGTTTCAGAAATCTGAAAATAACGGGGATTTTCCAAGGTGTCAGTGCCAGAGCGGTTTAAGATTAAATAGTATCATACTCAGAATTAGAGAGGTTTGTTTAAAATGTTTCTTTCCTCTCCCAGTTGGGGGAGCACGTGTCAAGGTGAAGTCTCCATCCACATGGGTCCTGGTGGACCCCAGTGGGCAAAGTCTCCATGCTGATTCGGGATGGATAAGGAATGGATTCAGATGTCGTGACACCAAAACTCTGTATGACAGAAGTAACCATTTTCCTTTTATTTTTTGGTTAACTCTTGTGAAGATTGAAAACTTGAAATGATATATAAATGACAAATAACTTTTTGATATATAATGGACCGTACTAAAGTACAATTTACAAAATGCTTTTACACGTCCATTTTGGACACTAACACTCTAAAATTCACGTTAGGAACAATATAAAAAGAAAAAGAAGGGGGTATGTTTTGCATGTTTTGTACCTAATATAGTGAGCAAAATTCCATTTGCTGATTGAGACATAATAAATTAGGTAAAGAAGCTTTTGTAGGTAAAATGCTGTTCTCGGGGAATATGAAGTAGGGGATACAGTTGACCCTTGAACAATGTGTGGATGAGAGGCAATGACCCCCAGTATGGTTGAAAATCCACATAAATCTTTTGGCTTCCTAAAAACTTTACTACTGTTAGCCTGCTGTTGACCAGAAACCTTACCAATAACATAAACATTTGGTTAACACATACTTTGCATGTGTATTATATACTATATTCTTATAATAAGATAAATTAGAGAAAATAAATTGTTATTGAGAAAATACATTTACAGTACTCTACTGTATCAAAAAAATTCGCAGGTAAGCGGACCCATGCCGTCCAAACCTGGGTTGTTTAAGGATCAACAGTATTTACTTTCACCTTTTTTCATATTACGGAGCTTAATGTATGGAGGGTGTTAGACTAGAGATGGGCGTTTTGCACACTTTATACATGTGCGGATCATATTTATTATAGAAAATTCTATCAAAATGTGTCATACTAAATTCAAGCAACGTGCAAAATAGACTTAGTATTTACCAATCCTTGCAAATATAAGGATACTCTGTTTTATACCAAATGGAAAAAATACACAGTGGTAAGTTATTGTAAATTCAGTCCTTTTAGATAGATAGGACTTTTATCCATCAAACTGACATTTACACACATTTGAAAGTTTTCTATACATATGTATGCAAGATACATTATTTAATCTACATCAAATATGACGAACCCAGTGCCTGGTACATAGTAGTCACTCAATAGACATTTGTCCTTTGAATGCCTTCAAGTATTTTGCAGATTCATAGCCCCAGCTCCTCTGTAATGGGTTGTATTCTGCAGTCTTCTATTTTAAAATTGCTGGCTTAACCAGGGGACATGAAGGGGGGGACCCTTAGAAAAACAGCGTGAAGCTAACCACACAGACTAGTATTCTGGAGTGAAACAGAAGCAGACTCTCAGCGTTTACATGGCGGAAGCTTTTGTTTTCCAGCCCAGCTGCGATGGTCTCTTAGTGTTACTTTTCAGATTTTTAGTCTCCTTTTGTAAGTGATTCAGTGAAAATATAATTCCATGACTAGATTACTTGGAACTTGCTCAGAATTGATCTGGACTTGTATTTTGAAAAAGTAATACTTGGTCATCCTGTCATGACCGATTTAATAGTGCATTCTTTTTCAAAGATGAGCAAATAACACAAAGGTTAACTAAGCCTTTTTGTTGTCACAAAATAAATAAAAAATTAAAAATGAAATAATGAAGGGGTATAACAGAAGAACCTGATTTGTTTGAAAGTATTTGAAATACCTGAAATTCAGAAAGAGCTAAAATGCTCCTCTAAGACTTTATCTTTTCTGTATTTGGAAATGAAATAACTGGGTATGGTTGATTTCTCTGTACTACTGGAGAGATTTTCTATGAGCCTAATAGATTATTAGAAAGCATTTGGACCCAAATCCAGTGCTTTCCTTGAAGATTGTTCTCATAAAAGTGCGACAGAATTAAATTGTGGCTATTTAATGTTTAGTGCTATTTAGGGGTGACTTTGCTGTTTTTATTATTCTTAAATTATAAATCATAGATGAACAATAGGAATGAAAAGTTGTGATTTTACAGGAAGAATTATTAAATTATGACCAAAGAACAAAAGCAAGTAGAAACTATTAGAAAAATGAACATATATATATAAGGAAAAGGTATATATACTTATAACAAGAAGTTAAAGACATTTATTTTTGGAACCTTTTTAATAATACAGCTACTATGTATGATAGTGAATATTTTTAAAGGAGGACAGAGCCTGATGGTAGTGAGAAAAAGAAATCCATCAAATATTAGTTCTTTTTTTTTTTTTTTTAAGATTTATTTATTTATTTATTTGACAGGCAGAGATCACAAGTAGGCAGAGAGAGAGGAAGGGAAGCAGGCTCCCTGCTGAGCAGAGAGCCAGATGTGGGGCTCCATCCCAAGACCCTGGGATCATGACCTGAGCCGAAGGCAGAGGCTTTAACCCACTGAGCCACCCAGGCACCCCAAATATTAGTTCTAAACAGAGGGCATGCACAGTAAAAATAGAAGCCAAATAAGATGTTAAATTTTTTTAGAGAATTGATCTTTTAAAATCAATATATTTTCAGAAGTGTAATGTTGTTTGACAGATAAAAACTCCTTATTGAAAGTGTTTTAATTGTAGTAACTGATCTATAAATATTTCAAATTTAGCCTCAAAACATTTATTAACCCAGTTTTTAATTATATAATAATTAAGTACAAAAAATAGTACTAGACACTTTGAGAGTATTGGGAAAAAAGCCTCAGTATTTGATTTTGAGAACCTTATGCTAATATGACAAATTATAAAATATTGTATTATTAATTGAAAATTTTTTTCCCATTTTCTTTATCAAATGAGAAAATTGTACAAACCTTTTTGTAACTATACAAATCCTAATTCCAACAGTTCCAATTCATCAGTGCTCATTGGCTTTCCAGCTTTACAGAGGTCTAATGAATAAATAATTCTTCACCTATCTCATTTCAGACTATAATATATTTTGAGACACTGGATCTAGCTTTCATAATACTACACTACTAAATTATTTCCCTGTATGTAATCGGATATATATTTAATATATATAATTGTTGAAGTACTTGAATATATAATTAGATATTATATATTTGTTTGAAATTAATATATAATAGTTGGAATATGTAATTGTTTGAAATACTTGTTTTCAGGTGATTATTAATTAAAAACTTCCACATTGAAGAAATGACTTAAGCTGTGTAGAAAATGAAAGTATTTCAAGTCTTACTAAAAACTTTGATCAGATTGGTGTTTTGATCACTAGGGGGAAAAATACTCCAGCAGCCTCCTCAAAGTAAGAATGTCATGCCGTAGACCTACAAGCATGTTTGACAGTGGAAGGAATTTAGAGCAGAGTATTTCCCAATAGTGGAGTGACATTATATTTTAAATAGAAGCACAGGTGTTATCATTAATCATCTTCACTCATTTGGGAGCTTTATGAAAATTAAAAAGGACTTTCTGTGTTTGTGTTTATAGGCATTCAGCTCAGTGAGTACCTTCCAGAGGTGAGAGACCTCCTGCAGGCAGACCAGCTCGGAAGCCTGAAGTCTAATCCTTACTTTGAGTTCGTTTTGAAAGCAAACTATGAATATTACGTTATGGGGCAAATGTAACTTTTTCTAAAAATGGTCACTGTTCCTGAAAATGTGTGGAAGCATGTCCTTATAAAAATCTTAGGCCTTAAACATCTAAAAATTTGTACAGTTTTATAACACATATTGCTAAATTTTGTATACTTTATTTGAAAGCTGCTACAAAACAGCTGTAAGGCTGACTGTAGTTTTGGTTTTTTTGTTACAAGATCTTTTCTCTCCTCTTTTTCCATCTAAGATGTAGCACTTGTTATTTCCGTGCTTGCTACCCTTCCTTTCTCCTATCTGCTGGGGGTTCTGGGATTCTTACTCTGGTTCTGCCTGCTTATATGCACAGAGCACTTCTCGGCCTCAGTTTCTGTAACTCTAAACATGACCAGAGTGCACGGATTGTCTCTGAAATGGCTGTGACTCTGCACTGAAGAGATCTGGAGTATTGATATCTGTTTTGATTGGGGCTAGTGGGCAATATGTAGTAAGGTAGATGTCAGATTTGCTGACTTGGTGTAGGACTAAAAGACTAAACAAGGAGTAATTCATGTGAGCTTGAGAACGGATTAGTTCATTGGGAAAATGTTAAATATTTCTACATAAATAATTGAGTATTAATGAGAGGAACAAGACCCTTAAGTGTTTTCTAGCCTATCTATAAGTTACCAATAAGTTTATAGTATTAGTGTTAGTTACAGTCTTCCAGTATGTAGATTCCATTAGCTTCGTGTATTTTCAAGGTGATTTGCACTGAATTCCAGCTTTACCACAGTCTAACGAATGTAAAGCATGTGTTATGCTAGAAGCCATTATAGGTTTTCTTAATATGGCATCTGATCTCCTGAAAAGTAGTGATTCCCAAAGCTTCATTGTTCTGACCAGTGTCATCACTCAGTTTTTAATCAGCTTTAAATAAAGACTAGAGATTGGATAGGGAGGTGCTGGCATATTCAGATTCTGGCCCAGTTGAATGCTCACTAAAGAACTTGCTCCGACAGCTGAAAAGGTCAGAAGTTAAATATGGTGAAGAGAGGCCGGTTCCTGGTTTCACGAAGTACAGCCGTCTGTGTCCTCTTCCTTCCAGCTTCACATGCAGCCTTTGAACACATTGTCAAGGAGAGGTTAATGGAGCTCATTACATTAATAACCAGAGGAAAGACACTAGCAGCCTTGTCTTCTTTTTGCAGCTTGTATGCGGGGACAGCATCAGGGTCCAGGTTAGGAACCTAATGAAGGGTGTTAAGGGAAGTTAGGAAGAACTTGTCAGATGGCAGGTAAGAAATTGCTAAAATTCTCTTCTTACAGGACAAGGCTTTGGTTTTCTATTGACATTAGCAATTCTTAGCTGTATGATCCTTGTACGTAATAATGTACTATGGGGACACAGCATTGTGCCCCCTTCAACGTGCTGCCACAAATCTAATAATACCTAGTGTGATAGGAAGGCCAGTCTGAGAGTCACCCTGGCCCCGTCGATGGCATGATTTTGCATTACTGCTGTCACGTTGTAATGCAAAGTCGTCTTATTTTGAGGGAGGGGAAGGCTCATTCTTCTAGCTCTGTCTTGTCGTCAGTAGCCTAGCACTGAAATGGTTGGATTTTTTTAAATTAGTAATAGTAAAATTAAGGCCTAAGATTTTGAATAATTTTTCTAAATTAAAATTTTACAACATAGTCTTTCCCAAAGAATTGATTTTTATATAAATTGAGTAATGAATAAAGACACAAAAAGTGAGCATGTTTTCTAAGGAAAGAGAAACTTTACTGACTTGGGAAAGTTGTTTTTTTTTTTTTTTCCACTTCTGTCTTTGCTTTTCTCAAAGTCACAGCTTGCAGCCTTGACTAAATGAAACGATAACATGTTTTTGAAAGTGAGCAGCCAGCTTTGTGTACTGGTATGTTTTAAAGTTTTATGAATATGAAGTGCCTGGGTAGCTTAGTCTGTTAAATGTCTGCCTTTGGCTCAGGTCATGATCTCACGTCATGGGATTGAGTCCTGCATAGGGCTCTCTGCTCATTGGGGAGCCTGCTTCTCCCTCTCCCTCTGCCTCTCCCCCTGCTTGTGCTCTCTCTTTCTCTCAAATGAATTAAAAAAAAAAAATCATGAATGTGTCAAAAATGAAGGCAGAACTGGAGATACGTGTAAGAGACTTGCTGAAACCCCAGTGAAGTAAAAGACTACTGATACCCTCCAATGTAAGGATTTCGTTTTTGAAGAAAACTTCAAAACTGGATTGTTTCTTTTACTTTGGGGTTTGAATCAGAATCCTGAAGTGTATCACCCACCAGGCACACGAGGCCACATTTCTCCTTTGAGGCCGACTGCTTTCTCTAGGAACAGGAATGGAAGGAAAGCCACACCATAATGTCATCAGACTCACTTCTTAATCTGTTGTAATCCAGCGTACTTGCACATGTTGAGGCTGATAACTACAGAAATATTAACGTGGTCCCACCTGTGTATTCCTGGACCTTTAATTTGGAGAATGGCTGAAGAGAAAATAGTATTTCTATGCAAAATCCCCTCATTAAATACCAAAATACAATTTAAAAAATAGTTTTGTATAATCCTAACAATTTTTTAAAAGATTTTTATTTGAGAGAGAGTGTGATGAGGGGGAAGAGCAGAGGGACAAGCAGACTCCCCACTGAGCAGGGAGCCCAACACACACACACGGCTCAGTCCCAGGCCCCTGAGATCATGATCTGAGCTGAAGGCAGATGCTTTACTGACTGAGCCACCCAGGTGCCCTCATTAATTCTTAAAAAACACAAGCAAAACTGACGAAAATGTAAAACCTATTTTTTGAAAAAATATATGTGGGGGGGGGCGCCTGGGTGGCTCAGTGGGTTAAAGCCTCTGCCTTCGGCTCGGGTCATGATCTCAGGGTCCTGGGATGGAGCCCCGCATCGGGCTCTCTGCTCAGCAGGGAGCCTGCTCCCCCCCCCCCCCGCCGCCCCCCTGCCTACTTGTGATCTCTCTGTCACATAAATGAATAAAATCTTTAAAAAAAAAAAAAAGTATATGGAATCCCACCAGCCAGAAATAGTTTCACTTACCAGTCTGAACTGGCTGGCTCAGTTGGAAGAGCAGGCAACTCTCGATCTCAGAGTCGTGAGTTCAAGCCCCATGTTGGGTGTAGAGATTACTTAAATGAACTTTTAAAAAAGTGAAATGTATTTTGGACAGTTTGGCACTGAGCATTCTATGTATTCCATAACCTAGTGTATACTGTGACCATCTCCTTAATCCAGTGTTTCCCAGCCTTTTTCCCACTGTCATTCCTGAGGACTCTTCTTAGACAGTTTTGTCCTAATCACTCTACCCCCATACTCCCCACCAGGAAAGTTTAATACTACAGATATACTGTCTATTTTTTTATGTGCTGTGCCTCTGGAGGCCACAAATCATTGTAATATCTAAGATATTTTTCACACCCCCACAAAAAAATAATCCCCCCCCCTTCAAAAATGCATGTCTTCACAATTCTTCAAGATACAACTCAATGACTGCAGGACACTTTACCACATGGCTGTGCCATGCTTTATTTAACGTTTCTCTGCCTTCTAGCGATCTGAACACGTGGGTTAATGGTTTTGGGTTGGGTTGGGTTTTTTTACTTTACTTCTGCTGTTTTAGATAATACTAGAATAAATCTTTGTGCCAAAATCTGTGTGTACCCCAAATTCCTGTAAAATTACATGACTCTTCCTACTCAGTTGGTGATGATGTTGACATGTTTAGCAAACAGTTCTAATAATGTCGAATGTCCTTTGCTCCCCTCTTCTACCACCTCACCCCTCACCCCCTCCAAACACTCGGAAAGATTCTGAGCTATTGAGTGTTTATGCCCCAGGCACTTACCTAGTTTTAATCTTCAAGTCAGTGTTAAGGAGTACATAGTATCATCAGTTGAGAATATGGAGTCTTTCTTGAAGTGAGCCTATGTGCTTTTAACAATATGAGAGCATATGAAGTGTTTTATGAATTCATATTTGAGATTTTTTTTGAGAGAGAGAGAGAACGGGACGGCGGGGAGCAGAGGGTAAGAAGAAGCAGACATATGACAGAAGGGGGGGAGGATACCCCTGGAAATACTTTACTGCAGAGTGCAAGCTTTTGACCCACTGATTATTCTGGATATTAGGAGGTGGTGGGATGAGGGGTGGAGCTGAGGGCTCCAGTGGAATCATTAGGTCAGTACAGATGGCCAAGGCAGAAGCCATGACTTCATTGCAGGATGTCTTCAGCCTCTCAGAAAAGAACCCTTGAAGAACTTTTATGTTTCCAGAACCAAACCAAGTGCTGGGGAGGATTAAAGGAAAGTAGAAAGCTGTCCCTGCCCTGCCCTGACTACTAGTAAGAGTCACCCAAGCCCCAGCTGTGGGACCTGGGAGTGGTCTAGCTCATTGAGCCTTGCTTTTCTGATTCTTAAAACTGAATGACTAAGGGCGCCTGGGTGGCTCAGTGGGTTAAAGCCTCTGCCTTCGGCTCAGGTCATGATCCCAGAGTCCTGGGATCAAGCCCCACAGGGGGCTCTCTGCTCAGCAGGGAGCCTGCTTCCTCCTCTCTCTCTGCCTGCTTCTCTGCCTACTTGTGATCTCTGTCTGTCAAATAAATAAATAAAATTTAAAAAAAAACTGAATGACTATTACCTATCTTATTTACCTCAGAATAGTTAGAAGCTTATATGCTTTTAACAATATGAAAGCATATAAAGTGTTTTACGAATTCATATTTGAGATTTTTTTGAGAGAGAGAATGGGGGGGTGGGGAGCAGAGGGAGAAGCAGACTCCCCACCCAGCAGGAAGCCTGTTGCGGGGCTCGATCCCAGGACCCCCAGACCACCCAGGCACCCCGAATTCATATTTGAAACAATAGGAAATGATAGAAGGCTTAGACCCAGCGAGAGAGTGGGACATACAGATTTGTGAGGTGCTCGGGGCGTAGGGCTGCAGAGGAGGGAGCTGTGAACCCACAGCTGAGTAGCAGCGTGGCCCTGTCAGGTGCCATGAGCTGGGCTGCACCTGAGACCTTAGAAGCAGGCGCTCTCTCTCAGGCATACCCTACATGGCTGAGCTTTACTTAGTTCTCAGACGGGTAGGCAGGCGGTCACCCGCTTATCGGGTGAGAGCGGAGCACTGGTGTGTTCCCCAAAAGTGTACATGTATGGAGACAGTTTTTCCACTCGCCCGTGACTCGCCCGTGAGGTCTAGTCCTAGGCCAATGAGAATTCAACAAGACCAGAATGGGACTGGGTGGCCCCACAGTGACCTGTCAGAGACTATTTAAACAGCTTCCCCCGGGGGCAGAAAGCAGATGTCTGGCCGGGTGTCCTCAGCACCAGCACCACCACCACCAGCACCCTACCCCCCTCACCCCCCCAGAAAGGTTTGCTGGACTCAGTCTCTTCCCTCCTGAGCGTTTTCTTCGTAGCTTTGTGTGCTCGAAGCTCATGGAAGAGAGAAGAACTGCACTGAGCACGAATTTCGGAAAATACAACTCCGCTCCCCTTTAAAATGCCAAGTTCTTAGATACTCCTATTTCAGGCCAAAATTTAAGCTTTTCCGTTTATATTGTACCTATAGTGCATTTGCCGGTTTATTTTTTTCTAGTGTCTTCACTACCCACTGACAGCAGGACCTGAGGTTTTCAAAATGACATGTAGTTCTGTCGCTCACTCATTCTCTAAGATAATGGAAAAAGCTAAATAGGAAACCGCAGTAGCTTTTAGCTGAACCTTGGCACCCACTGCGTAAGCCCCATCCTAACCAAACTATTGTTTAATTGACTGATGGTTTTAGGAAGAGCTGCCATGATGTGGCCTCCAGGGGAGGGTTACATGTGCTTTTCTGTCCCTCCCCCAGAGAAGCCACACCTGTCCCAGTTGCTGAGTTCCACTACCAAATGTGAATTGCAACTATTTCGGGAGCACTTAAGCACATCAGAAAAATGAACCATTCCATTCTTGCTTGTCCCATGTCACTGATGTATCCCCTCAAAGCATGCCACTGAGTTCATCACAGAAAATTGTGTCTCCCTGTGGCTTCCACAGCAGGCTTAGGACTGCGCTCCCACCCCACTCCACCCCACCCCCACCTCCCACCCCCCCACCCCCCGCCCCCCACCAAAAAAAGAGAAAATGTGAGACCAGCACCAACTGGATAACCTCCTCTGACACTCACTCCACCTTACCATAAGTAGATCCAAATCCTTCTAGAAAATTTGAAAGGCATATCCCCATATATCAGTGGTATAAATAGAACCTCTTCAGTGGCCTCTGGTAGATGGTGACTCTCCAAGGTGGACTGGGAGGCGGCAGGGCCTTGGCAAGGCATCATCCTCTAAATATAAAGATGAGTTTGTTCAGCCTCTGCAGAAGGAAAAATCGCTACCCATCCTAGAGTGCAATGTCCTTGTCCTTCTTACTGGGAGGGAGGTCGAGCAAGGTTTCACTTAGGGCGCTTCACCCATTCCACCACCAGGTCGTGCCTTGTGACCCTGGCCTTTCAGTTCCAGGACAGGGACACTCTTAGCCCCACCAAGGAGGTGGGGACTTGGGGGCTCAGCTCGGCCCACCCAACCTGGGGCAGGTTGGGGAGAAAGAGGAACCCCCCCAATTCCTTCGCCCCCCAGGTGTGCTGCACGTCACTGAGGAGAACAGCTCCGGGTGCCCTGGCTTTGTGCCCGGCCCTGCCAGAGCCGCCGACCCGGCCTGTCCCCGGGAGCCCTGCGCCGCCGCCTCCTCTTCCCCGCCTCTCCGTCCTCTCCTCCCGCCGCCAGTTGTCTGGGCC